CCACCCACCCTGGATCCCCCCCTGGAAGGAAGATTAAGCAGAGGAAGTGCCACGCCAAGACAATACCCTGCATGAGATGTGTCATTGATAGATAGCTGAGATGGCTGACATTGAGAAATTCTACCAGTGTCTGAAAAGGGGTGAACTAAAAGACAACACCAAGGGACTGATTATAGCAGTACAAGAACAGCACTAACAACAGATCCATAAAAGCAGGGATTTACCACACTAGACAGGAACCAAGGTGCAGACTGAAGAGAGGCCTCAGAGACAGTCCAACACATAGTGGCATGATGTAAAATGCAGGCAGAAGCATACACTAAACTAAGTAGCTGGCATTGTGTACAGGAACTTCTGTAGAGTGTATGGGCTAAACCTCCAAAGTCCAGATGGGAGGTTCGGTAGAAAGTTGTGGAGACATACAGAGCTAAGATCTTGTGGGACTTCCAAATCCAGATGGACAGGCAGGTATGAACCAGTCAAGCGGATAACATGGTAAAAGACAAGGACCAGAAGACAGTGGTAGTAATAAATGTAGTGGAGCCAAGTGACAGCAACATCAGGAAGAATGAATATGAGAAACTGCAGAAGTACCAGGGCTTGAAGGAAGAACTAGAGAGGATGTGGAAAGTAGAGGCCAAAGTGGTCCTAGTGGTAGGAGGAGCAGTCAGGGCTGTGATCCCCAAGCTGAGAGAGTCGCTCCAGCTGTTCCCAGGAACAATATCAGAGCTCTCTGTCCCAAAGAGCTAAGATATTGCATGGAATACTTAGGCTTCTGGTAGTAGACATAAGATTGTATTCCTCATCAAGGTGAGAAGGGATTTTAAAAAATATAATATAGTAATTAAGGAATCAGGCTAGAAACTGGAATGCTGTGAGTTCTAATCCTGCCTTGGGCACAAAGCCAGCCACTTTCTCTGAGCCCTAGAAAGGAGGCAGGGACAACCCACTTCTGAAAAACCTTGCCAAGAAAACTAGATGGACTTATCCAGGCACTCTTCAATGGATTAAATGGAAGAAAAAAGAAAGAAGAAAAAATCCCCTAAAATCATTATATATATATATTAATTTGACATGATTTAAATAAAAATAGAATGGCACCATTTTCAACCTTTAAGTACATTTCTTAAGGAGGACCTGTTAAAGACATAATATCGGGCCATTATTTGTTTTGAGCTGTTGCCTGTATTAGGAGATCATTGAATCTTCTGAGATCTAACTTGTATTTCAAATAATCCTTATTTGTAAATAAAATGTGATGGAATAAACAAAATTAAGATGTAACATAGAAATGTAATATAGTACATTCAAAACTAAAAACTTCCTGCACTGGAAGGATGAGTGTAGAAGAAGGTGGATGTAGAAGAGAATATATGTTTTCAGTTTCTTCATGGTTTATTTCATGAAACCGAAACATAATTTAGCATTCTAAATGAACTGGATGAAAAAATACATAAGTCTTGAAAATATTTTGATTGATAAATTTTCAGAGGTTATTGTTTGAAATATTTTATTTTTCAGAATTTTTATAAATCTGAAATTAATAAGGAGGAAATGTATATTCGTTACATACACAAGTTATGTGACATGCATCTGCAGGCTGAAAATTACACAGGTAAATATGGGAGAAGGTTTTATTTATATATTTACAGTGGTCTCTTAAATATGTCTCTACATTTTCATAATTTTTTTAACTGTAAATGTATAATTTACACAGTAATCGGTTGTACAAGCATACAGTAAGTAGCATAATTCTTATCAAATTATATCACAGTGATCAGTAAAAGTATGTGACTAGGATTGTGCATGTTGTTTTCAAGTAGTGACACAATATCTTTGGAAGACATTGCATTTTTGTAAGCAGATTGGAACTAATTCTCCACTATTTGTTTACATTACAGTGTCTCTGCATAAATACTCAGATTAGCAATTAGCAATTTGAGGTGCACTTAAGCACTAGCTGGAGAGTTGCAGCTAATTTATTTTAATTGCATGCATATAGTATATTTTTTTTACTAAGTCCACATTATTTTCATTCATATTACCTAAAGTCCAAATAAGAATAATTAATTAATGGTCTCTCAATTTATTTTTCCTTTACTTCAGCATAACTTTTTACTAGCAAAATGCCTTTTTTATCTGATTCATTTAGGCTTTTCATAACTTTTTAGTTTCTCTATTTGCATATTCATACAAGTTGAAATGTTTTGATATTATTATGCAGTGTTCATTGCTTATTGGTTTGACAGAGGCTGCTTTTACATTGCTTTTGTATTGTGAGCTACTACAATGGGAGGACAGGCCTCTTCGGGAATTCCTCCACTATCCATCTCAGACAGAGTGGCAACGTAAAGAAAATCTTTGTCGGAAGATTATCCATTATTTTAATAAAGGCAAGGTCAGCAAATGTTATTAGTAATTGTTTTCAAATTTTATTTGATATTCTTTGCTAAAGATAGACCTAATGTTTTCTGCAAAATTACTGGAAGATTTATTTACTTGTCAGGAGAATCATAAATTCATTGAATTACACTGTAGGAAGTAGTCCGATTGTTACTGTTTTCCAATTTAAGCATGTGTGGAAAGACTTTTGCTGGAATAAGGGGGAAAGCACCACTTTCATGGTGGAATGCCTAAAATTCAGGCCGTGTTAACAATGGATTAGATAGAGGCAAAATCATGTCCCTTAAAAATGGTTAGCAATAAGTGGAAGATGTGGATGAGCTTTACAATATTTGTTTTTTGTCCATACATTTACAAGACGCCACAAGATAAATAAACTTCTGCAAATGCTGCTTTTACTAGAAATGTGTTACACAAGATCTTCTGGAGATGGGTCTAATTTTCATCAGAATTTCTCAGCTCTATTACTTTTTTACATTCCAAGAGCTGTGCTAATCAGGTTGTACAAATTGTTTCAAAGAACAATTAAATAAATATAGATTTACATTTCTGCTGAACAGACCTTATACAGTATCTGTTTAAAACTCTGCTAGGAAAAGAGTGCTTAATTTAAGAAAGCTTCAATTTATATTAATTCAGTCAAAGAAACATCTGATTTTTTCTCCTGAAATAAGAAACATGTGCTATTAAATCTAAGTTTGAGTCATTGCGTACACAAACAAACACACACACTATATTCTTTTTTCCCCAGAAGATGGATAGGGTAATGTTTGAGTAAATATTTATATACAATAAGAAATGGAAACACAGAATTTAGATTCATCTGTGCATTCTTTCTTATACTTTCTTGCAGAATTGTCATATTAAACCTACCCTATGCTTTATTGTCTGCTGTTATTCAGAGTTAGTATTGTTTTGATAAACATTTGTGGTTTTGCCTGGTATCTTTTGTCCAACTCAACTAATCTTTCCATTGGCTAGAGAAGAGAAAACCTAGAGCTTATACCTCTGACTGGCTAACAAATAATAAAGGAGCTCATTAAGAATTATTAAATGTTCACTTATTTTTCTTGTCACCATTCTTAAGTTTATCATGGGAATACACTACTAAGGGTTACTTTCTTAATTTTAATTAGATATTTTTCGTGTATAAAAATCCTATTTCATCTCAGATTTTAATCTTTCTTTTAGAGCTGGGAATTTGGAATCCCGTTATGCAGAGAGCTGGCTACTCAGTATGAAACATTATATGATTATCAAAGTCTCAGCTGGATTCGGGTGAGTGATGTTCAGCTTTTAAAATAGCATTTCCTGCAGGACAAATGCTGTCACAATATTTTGCCAGTCGGAAATATACAGACAGCCCTTGGTTAATACCATTTGTTCAGTGATCATTCAAAGTTACAATGGTGTTGAACAAGTGGTAACTATGACTGGTCCTCAGAGTACCAGCCACCCCAGTACCCTGCAATTACATGATAATGATCTGGGTGCTTGGCAACCAGCTCGCACTTGCAATGGTTGCAGAATCCTACAATCATGTGATTGTGATTTACAACCTTCTCTGTGGGCTTCCCATAAGCAAAGCCAGATGGGAAGACTGCAAGTTGTTCAGATAAATCTCACCCACTCACATACCTTCCATCAGTACCTTTGTTCTTGCTGACATGCTGTGCCTCAGCAACCACCTGAATATCCTCCCTGCTATTTGTGCAAGCCTGCACATCCTTCCTGGCCACTTGCACACTCTCCTGCCTGACAGCAGCTACCCCAATTTTGCCAAAATTGTCTATTGTTAACTGTTCTTTGAGTTCTTATAACCTTAAGCTTGCATAGAAAGTACAGTGTAAAAAGAATTATTGTATTCTATAAAAATATTAAAAGTACGTATGCATAGAATCCTCCCTATGAAAAACTGAGTTCTCTGTAAAGTTAACTTGAATATGTGTTTCATAAGGGTATGATACTTTAAGTGTTTGAAAACCACCTGTTAATGGTATCAGATACTATAGTGTTACTACATAAGGTCTGGGACAACTCGCCACGGGATAACTCGCTGGGGGTCAGTTCCACCAAGGATAACTCAATGTGATAAATATTATCCACCACTGTTTCTTCAGCATTATTTGTGTTTCTGTCAAGATGGCCAGGGCAAGTTGACAGCAGTGAGACAGCCATGACGAGATGGCCTCAGTGAGTTGTTCCAGCTGTCAGCATTTTCTCCTAAAGGTACAGCATTATTTCAGTCCAGTATAATTTTTCTTTTCTATCTTTAGAAAATGGAAGCTAACTATTATGACAATATAATGGAACAGCAACGGTTGGAACCTGAATTTTTCAGAGTTGGCTTTTATGGAAGAAAATTTCCTTTCTTCCTCCGTGTAAGTACATTTAACATTTCTATTACTGTATGAATAAACTGCAGTTTATAATGAAGATGATTTGTGTATTCATTGAAGGAATTAAAATTGTTCTGTTTTAAAATATGGATTTATCTAGAAAATTATAAACTTGATTGATTCATCCGAAATATTGATGTTGTTTCTGCTAGTTTACTTATTATCCATATTTTCCAAATGTTAATATTTAATGTAGTTTTGTAGCTGGAATGTATATGCATTCCTACTGGCTGTTTCATTATTTATAAATATGATTGAGGTTTTTTCATATAAAATATTGTACATATAATGAATCTTCTAACTGCAGTGATAAAACAACTATGTTTGAAATTTCAAAAAGTAATTCTATAGTTTAATAGCATTGCGAAATAGTATTAATTCAAATGAGATTCACAGAATCTATTTCAAAAACAGTGACAAGTAAGCACAGTTGGATTGCTAAACTTTCATACGAACGTCAGTCCATACTGGAGATGAAGTTATTTAGCGAGAGAGGAACTATCGAGAAAACTGTTCTGGAGAGTCTGCATGGCCTCAGATTACTATGTGGAAAACAATTATGTGGTTGACATGGAGGGTGAGAGATCGGCTGCAAAGTCTGGAGGAGCGGGGAGGAAGAAAGGGAATTACTGGAGGTGGAAACAGTGTTGTGCTCAGTGTTTTGAGCAGCAAAGGCAGTGTTTCGGGCGACAGGGGCAGAGTGGAGCGGCAGCCATTGCAGCTAGGAAGTTTTCCTCCATTGCTGACCATCTTTGGAAGAAGAGGAGGTGTGACCGAAAGAGGAAACGTGGCAAATGCGGAGGCCTAACATCTAGACTAAAAGCTGGACCTTACAGAGTGTCACTTCCATCTATTTTGTTTGCAAATGCTCGCTCCTTAGAGCCAAAAACAGATTATTTGAGGCTAGATTTAACAACAAACTGGGAGGTGAGAAACTGATGTGTCATCATTGCAACAGAAACTTGGTTAAAGCCCTCTTATCCCAGATAGTGCTGTTAGCTTGATGGGATTTTCAACATTTTGGCTGGACTGGAGTTTTGCTCTTAGTGATGTCTGTTTTTACATAAATGACAGATGGTGTAATAATGCCAAGGTGGTTTCAAGTCTGTGCTCCCCTAATGTGAGCTTCTGACCATCAAATGCAGACCCTTCTATCTGCCTAGAGAATGTTCTGTTATCATTATCACAGCTGTGTATATCCCCCCTGATGCAAACAGAGAAGAGGCCCTGAACGTTCTCTATCATACCATCAGTGACTTACAAACTACTCACTCTGAGGGTGCATTTATTGTAGTGGAAGACTTTAGTCAAGTTGATCTGAAAGCTACTCTGTCACATTTCCATCAATACGTGGACTTTGCAACCAGAGGGGAGAATACACTGGATCTTGCTTATTCCAACATCAAGAATGCATTTCAAAGCTATCCCCCACCCTCACCTGGGCCCCTCTGATAATCTCAGTGCTGCTTATTCCAACATATAAACCTTTATTAGTCAGAGTGAAACCTACAGTAAAGCAGGTGAGGGTTTGGACAGAGGGAGCTATAGAAGCATTACAAGACTGCTTTGAGTGCACAGATTGGGGCATGTTTAAGGAAGCAGCTGCTCATAACCAATATACAAATGTTGAGGAGTATGCCACCACGGTGTCTGCATATATCTAAAAGTGCATAGAAGATGTCTATGTCCTGAAAAGCATTGTTGTGAAGCGAATGAAAAACCGTGGCAAGATGCTGAAGGCTTTTAATGTGGCTTTTAAATCTCGTGACATGCTGGCACTTAGAACAGCCAGAGCAAATCTGAAAAGTGCCATAAAAGGTGCAAAGGAAGCCCATTGCCAGAAAATTCAGAATCTTTTTTCAGGACCCAACAAACTCCAGGCAAATGTTACGGATTATAAGGTGGCTCCATCGAGATGCAAGAATGACATAGACTTCCTAAACAAGCTGAATACATTTTTTGGAAGATTTGAGGCATCAAATAGCACTCCTGCTAGGAAAGCTGTGCCCCATCCTGACAAGCAAGTGCTTAGCTTTGATTTAACCTCTGTCCGGAAAACACTGTGGAAAGTTAACATTCGGAAAGCAGCAGGCCCAGATAATATACCTGGATGTGTTCTTAGGGAATGCACAGATGAGTTGGCTTGTGATCTCACAGATATTTTCAATCTCTCATTGCAGCAGGCAGTGGTCCCATCATGTTTTAAGGTGGCCATCATTTTACCAGTGCCCAAAAATCCACAATTACAGGCCTCAGTGATTACCATCCGGTTGCACTGACATCCATCATTATGAAATGCTTTGAGAAGCTGATAAAGGACATTATTGTATCTAGCCTCCCGTCAGCATTTGACCTGCTTCAGTTTGCTTACCGACCAAATCACTCTACGAAGGATGCTATTTCTTCCGTTCTCCATCTGAGCTTGACGCACTTAGAGGAAAGAAACACTCATGTGCGTTTGTTGTTTGTCGACTTCAGTTCGGCATTTAACTCAATTATTCCCCAGCATCTAGTAGACAAACTGGGCCTTTTAGGCTTAAACACTCCTTTGTGCAACTGGATTCTTGATTTTCTTACTAACAGGCCCCAATATGTGTGAACTGGAACAAATATTTCTAACACCATTTTCTTGAGCACAGGTTCTCAGGGCTGCCTCCTAAGTCCAACCCTGTTGACCCATGATTGTTGTGCTAGATTTGCCACCAACCATATTGTGAAGTTCGCAGATGATACAACAGTAGTGGGCCTTATTCATGATGACAATGAGGGTGCTTACTGCAAGGAGGTTGAGGGTTTGGTGAACTGGTGTAAGGAAAACAGCCTAGTTTTAAATACTGGAAAAACCAAAGAGATCATTGTCGATTTCAGAAAAGGTAGGCACAATCACACTTCTCTGTGCATTAATGATTCGCTTGTGGAGATGGTTACCAGCATCAAATTCCTGAGTGTGCAGTTAACAAGTAGGCTGACTTGGTTGCACAACAGCGAGACACTGGTGAAGCGGGCACAGCAGTGCCTGCATTTTCTGCGTCGCATGAGAAAAGCACATCTTCCTTCCCTTATCCTTCCCACTTTCTACAGGGGGATAGCATCACAGTCTGGTTTAGAAGCATCATTGCTTCAGACAGGAAGGCGGTGCAGAGAGTGGTAAGGATGGCTGAAAAGATTATTGGCAGTTCCCTCCCTTCCATCCAGGACATAGCACATAAGCGTTGCTTGAGCAGGGTCCGTAAGATTGTCTGGGACACTACACACCCTCTTCACGACCTGTTTTCCTTGTTACCTTCTGGGAGGAGGCTCCGTGGTATCCGAAGAACATCCAGATTCAGTCACAGTTTTGTTCCGTACAGTATTAACCTTGTAAACTCTAAAGCTTCCTCCTTCCGTTATGTATTCAAGATGGACAGTGATTAATATGTATATGTTACTTATATGTTAGGATGTATGTCTCTACATATGTTGTATATAGTATGTTTAAATGTATGTTATGTGTACACTTTGAGAGCAAGCAACTAAATTTCATTTTTAATGTGTGCCTTTGTGCCCATAGTAAAAAATGATAATAAAGGTTATCTAATCTAATCTAAAAAGAATACAATCAGTTTGAAGGAACTATTTAGGATATGAATTCTAATTTCCCACCCCACGCTCAGTATAGGAATCCAAGATGAAGAATCCCAGACAAATGAATGTCTAGCTTCTAGTTGAACAGATCCAGTGAAAGCCCACTACCTCTCTGGTTAATTGGTACCTGATCAAATTGCTCTTACAGGTATGAAGTTTTTTCTAATATTGATTGGGAATTAATTCCTAAAATTAATTGCCTTATTTTAACTTACATTCTTTACTCTGTGTCCTGCATTCTGGAACAAGAAGAAACAGATTTTGAAGTTGTATATGATTGTCAGGCTTCACCCAGAGTGATACTCAAACTTGAAGGCTAGCAAGCAGTTTCAAGGATGCAGCTGTTAGATAAATAGGTTTATTACACATATTAGAAAATTTGTAATTAAATAAATAAAAGTAAATTACGTCAAGCTGTGGAATGTGCTCAGAATTTTAGAACATCTCATTTTCCTCACGACAAACTTATATAAAGGTCAGGAAGCCACAATATAAGAGAAGATGGTAAAACAGGAGCCAGGTTAGTAAAGGAGTACAACAAGGCTGCATACTCTCTTCTTTATTCAATCTACAGTATATGTTAACTATATATTAAGGCAGTGGTTCTCAACCTTTTTAATGCCGCGACCCCAACCGGTCATAAGTCGAGGACTAAACCGGTCATAAGTCGAGGACTAAACCGGTCGTAAGTCGAGGACTAAACCGGTCGTAAGTCGAGGACTACCCAACCGGTCGTAAGTCGAGGACTTTCCCTGCCCAGGAGCACCGTGCATGCGTGGTTCTGCCCCCTGTGCCAGCCAAGGCATAGCTGGCAAGCGGCAGAGACGGAGCAGGCCGACCACCAGCTGGCCCAGCCCAAGGGGAGGTAAGGCACCCGCCGGAAAAGGGAAAAAAAAATAGCAGACAAAAAAAATGGCGGCCAAAAAAAAATGGCGGACAGCCTTGCTTGGCGACCCCCGTGAAATGGTCGATCGACCCCAAATGGGGTCCCGACCCACAGGTTGAGAACCACTGTATTAAGGGAAGCTAGATTGGAAGCATGGTTTTAAAATTGGAGGAAGAAACATTAATAATCTGTGCTATGCTGATGATATTATCCTAAAAACTGAAAATGCAAATGATCTCCAAGCCCTAGTACTAAAAGTAAAAAGCACAGTGAAAAAAGGGACTAAAATTAAATATTAGAAAGACCAAATTAATGACAACAGGTAAAACAACCAGCCTTAGAATTTTTTCTAACAGTTATGCAGATAAAAAGAAAAAAATACAAAGTGTAGAAAAGGAAAAAGAAGCATATAAAAGAAAGAATAGAGAAGAAAGAAAAATATGACTATAACCAAAGAAGAAATATAAAGAAG